TCATTACAAATTATATTAATGCCAACAGCCTGAGTGAAAAGTAGAATCTTTGAACTATTTACATGAATTTCAGAGTTTCTTAGTATTTCTTAGTACGTCCCTTTTTTTTTTCTTTTTTTTTTTGCTTTAATGACACTGTGCACTCGACTCCAAAAGTTTGTGCAAAACTTATGATCCGTTTTTTTTGGATCAAATCCATCGGAGTGTCGTCTGATCACATGCTTCATTAGAAGAGATTAGACATGATGGACATCTGACCTTTTGTTCGAAGCAGTTAACATGGTCAATATCACACATTTGCTTACTTGTAAATAGGGACTTAGTGCAGAATCTTGAATATTAAATATTCCTGATATGGAACATTTACTTTCTTTGTTTTAAATATTTCTAAGTTCTAAAAACCTTTTTATTGTTTAGTTCAAATTTTTAAATAAAAAAAAAAAAAAAAAAAAGATTTTCAGTGTTGTCCCAGACTTTTGGAACTCACTCTATTTTATTCTTTATCGAATAAAAGATTTTTACTAGTAATTCGTTCTCCTGGCATTGATCGCTAATCTTCCACATATCGTTGTGGTAATGAGGGCCATCGTCCTTGTGAAACGAGGGGTAGGTTTCACAATTCCTGGTACGCACGTCGTGCCAGATTTCCGTATGTGCTGTGCTTAAAGGACTTCCTGCAAATATATAAATAGTAGATGATACTGAATTCATTTTGGTTAGCAGCGTAATGTCATTTGCAACTTTGATTTATTTCATTTCCTCGCTATGCAAATTTTTACTCGAAATATATTGTGCCGTATTTGTGATGTATAATCTAGTCCGATCTACTTGTTCTACAGTACTACACCGTCTCTCCTACAACTAACGTTGAATAACTTAAGGACGTGAGAAACGTCGGTAACTATAGCCAGTGATCATTGAACACGCTCAATATCTAGTGTGTTGAAGCACCGGGGCGTTCATGCACATGCAATGAGAGTACCAGATAAGATAAAAGTTCAAAGTGCACACCTGATACAGTTCAGACGGTTAGTGAGCGATTACACAATATGCTGTTAATGGTTCACCAGACCATGTCTATCGGATTGCAGCACAACTCCTGGAATCTGACTGGAAGATTTCGACCTCTCTCTGATACTGAAAGCAAACTCTTCCATAATGCAACACTTCCACTTTGTCAAATGGCAAAATCATTTCATTGCAGGCCGTGATGCTAGTCATTTCCACAAGCTCTTACATTATGGGAAAATGCTAAGTCACTGTGGACCTCATTTATGTCAAGATATATAGGCCATTAGTCAATAGTGAACCATATGCAAGTTTCTCAGTATGTCAGTGTGGGCTATCACCACGTGGACTGAGTCTAGGAAATCTAGGCTTTGAAAGAGAGACATCAGTCCGGGCGGGTGCTCTTAGTAACGATTTTCATGGAAGAACCCGTGTTTAAAGCATTTCATTGTTTAAAACATTAAAAATTATTGTCTATGTATAGAGAATAAAAAGTGTGCCAATTTAAATTTAAAGTGCTAGCACTGGCGCCTCATTCCATAAATCCTAAATACACATCTCCTCCATAGAAAACTTCACAATATCAACAGTTGTACTTTTTAAATAGGTAAATAACTGAACACAACCAGCCATAACATTAAAACCACTGACAGGCGAAGTGAATAACATTGATTGTCTTGTTACGTTGGCACCTCTCAAGAGGTGGGATATATTTATTAGGCAGCAAGTGAACCTGCAGTTCTCGAAGTTGATGTGTAGGAAGCAGGAAAAATGGGCAAGTGTAAGGATCTGAGCGACTTTGACAAGTTCCAAATTGTGATGGCTAGACAACTGGCTCAGAGCGTGTCCAAAACGGCAGGTCTTGTGGGTTCCCGGTATGCAGTGGTTAGTACCTACCAAAAGTGGTCCAAGGAAGGACAACACGTGAACCAGCGACAGGGTCGTGGGCACGCTAGGCTCACTGATACGCGTGGGGAACGAAGTCTAGTCCATCTAGAGCCACTGTAGCATAAATTGCTGAAAAAAGTAAATGCTGGCTCTGATAGAAACGTGTCAGAACACACAGTGCATCGCAGCTTGTGGTGTATGGGCTGTGTAGCCGCAGGCCAGTCAGAGTGCCCATGTTGACCCCTGTCCACTGGACAATGGAGCAATCAAAGAAGGTCTGACGAATCACATTTCTTCATGGGTCAGAGCTGTCTTGGAGGCACTAGGGGGACCTACACAAAATTAGGCAGGTGGTTTTAGTGTTATGGCCGATCGTGATAAAAGTATACAAGTAAAATCAACACCTTCTAACCAATCAGACTGGCCAATTCTTGCACATTGTCTCAGAAAAGGATCAGAAAAGAGAATTCGTATGAAAATTCAATTTGGGAACGTCCCCCATATCTTCCTAATAGTGAGTCAGCTAGTTTATTTCAATTTCAGTGCCATCATCTCGATTTGCACTGTCGTATTTTCAGCAGCTTAAACTATTAATAGCTAGCATCACTCTAACAATTAAAACTTCTTAGCTAAACATTAATATTAGTTCAGTAAGCCTCTGAACCACCGCAAACCTGATCAGGAAAAGCCGTGTCGGGGGATTAAGCTTATATATAGGATCTGTGTCAAACTGGAACAAAGGGAGAGGTGTATGTGTGTTAACCCGGCAGTTTCCAGGCCAATTCACACCTTCAGATACTGGCACAATGTCACGGCGTGAATCACCCAGCATGGATTCTCCACCATTGAGCAGAACTGATAAAGAACCCTGAATGAGAAGAGAAACATCTGGACTGAATCCAAGACTAACTGCTAAAACAGGGATACCTGTAGGAACCTTACTAGAAATTCACACTAGCAAGTGTGTGTAGTGACCGATATGGTCATCGCTTGTAGCTGTGCACTGTCCAGTGTTCATTTTTTTTCAACAATAAAGAGTAGTAGCTACTGTGTATACATAGCTTCTAAAATTAAACACAAATTAAATAATATAGTAATCAGTGTGAAAGTAGTGGTTGTTTGATTTACACGTTAAATGCTAGGTTGTGTACTAGCTTCACTGGCAGATTAGCAAAGCAAGCGAAGTGTACTATACATACGCGCTACACTTTAATTGTACCTGCGACGTACAGGACCTTCCAAGCTTTATTTCTCTCCGTGATGATTCTATACACATTTACTGAGAAGTCCTATATGACCGGATTAGATGAAACCATGGTCTTCCATTTTTGTGCATCAAACAGTAAACAGGAGCTAAAAGTAGGAACTAAAAGTTGTGAGCGGGGAACTAAAGAAACGTCGCACCATAGAATTGGTTTGAGGAATCATTCGAGCCAATCGTTTGCATTTGACTCTGAGAGGTTGATCCGTGGACAGTTTTTATTCTGGAATAATCCTTCACGGCCCTTGGAATCGTTTTTGTCAGTAAGACAAAATAATAATAATAATAATAATAATAATAATAATAATAAAAATAATAATAATAATACAGAAAAGGGAATCAAACACATAGCAGGCTTGTAACTGTTTGACTTTTTCGGTACTTTTTGTGGTACCAAATACACAGCTAGGTAGAAAATGCTTCATTGAAAATAACCGTGCTGCTCTTGTGTCTTTGTGTTTGTTATTTTCCTAAAAATTGACAAAAATCCCACCCATTTTTTTGTTTGCAAAGACACCTAGCATCTGCAAGGTACTGCTTTGCAAATGGCCACTTTATCAGCACTCCGTCATATTTCTTTTACCACGTAACCCTCTTTTCATGCCCTCACAGATAACGATCTCATGTACGAGTCAACTCGTAGGCAAACAGATTTGTCTCGTCTGTCCCTGCATTCCTCAGGAGGTACTAAGCTAATCTGTTAACCTGCAGGGTTAGGCCCTTCCTAATTTCAATTCAGAGGCTGATGTAAAAGCAGAGCAACTCCCCAGTGCTCAAAGCCAAGGCAAGGAGTGCTAGGGACTTTCTCTGTATAATCTTATCACACAGCCAATTACTAAATGCGCGTGTGTGTATATATGTGTGTGTGTGTGTGTGTGTGTGTGTGTATATATGTGTGTGTGTGTGTGTGTATGTGGGGGTGGACGCTTGCTTCTATCTTAGCCTTTGTGACGTTGTAAAGTAAGATCATACTTTTCAGTAGCCTGTGGTTTCTCACCAATTCTGTTCTCACCAATTCTGAAACCCTTCTCATACGGTTATATTTGTGTTCAAGCTGTGTCCGTACTAGCTCGAAGAAGCTAATATCATTCCGAATCATTTTGTCAAGTTATTTACTTGAGTTTAAATGAGAAGTACTGCAGTTTATAGCACTAAGGCGATTAGATCTGTGTATATATCTCCAAAGCCTTAGTATGGGGTAAAGGTGTTGCTACGTAGGTCAAATCTATCTTATTTTTAATCTGACATCAATCTGCAGTCATTACAGGAAACTATAATACATGAGCAAGAATGCTTTTTCAAAGCTAAGAGAAGAAGAAGAAAAAAGATGCAAGTCTAATCTCATGCTCTGTGGAGATTAAGAGCTTAATATCCCAGGAGATGAGTTTTTTAGTGTTCTTTATTCGTTTAACCAGGGAAATGACTCCATATGGCAGGACAGATAATTAGAACAAGATCATTATGAGCTTCATAAATGAGACGGTTACAGAGACAGTCGCACAAGCTATGATGTTGAGTGTGAGATTCAGAATATCGCTCTCTGATCATTCATTTATTAATCTTCTATATCACGTCGTCCTACATGGAGCCTGGAAATATACCGTGAGGGATTTGTTGTGCCATTAATCCCTTTCAGATCTAAAATAAACCCTGTGGTTCTGAATGAGCTTTAATCTCTCTTGAGAGCCCACACTGTTGAGCTCTTACATCATCCAAACTGAGATCCCCGGAACACCCGGAAGAGCACGCAGCCACCAGAGCTAGACACGTGGAATTATTTAAAGATGCGCTCGTATACTTTGTTCGAACCCTAGTATTTAGCTTTGATATTTACAACTTGGAGGGCACTGTGGCTTAGTGTTTAGAATGTTTGCCTCGAACCTCCAGGGTCGGGGGCTTGAATCCCGCCTCTGCCCTGTGTGCACAGAGTTTGCATGTTTTCGCTGTACTTCGAGGGTTTCCTCTGGTTTCTGGTTACTATATAAGATATGAGGCAGAATGAAGCACAGTTACACGACATCACATGCCTGCCAGCCTCATCTGCATAGAAAATGAAATTACTGTGAGAACAAAGACATGCGTTGTAGGCTGATTGGCAGTTCCAAATTGTCTGTAGTGTGTGAATGTGTGTGTGATTGTGCCCTGTGGCGGGTTTTGGATGGAGGGATGGATGGATGATGGATCGATTGTATGGTGGCATAGTGGTTAGCAAGTTTGACTTGCACCACTGGGGATAGGGGTTTGATTCCTGCATCCGCCCTGTGTGCGCGGAGTTTGCATGTTCTCTCTGTGCTTCGGGGGTTTCCTCCAGGTACCCCAGTTTCCTCCCCCAGTCCAAAGACACGTGTTGCATTCCCAAATTGTCCCTAGTGTGTGATTGTGACTAAGTGGTATAGAAAATGGATGGATGGACACTAGAACAGTTTTTTCGTCAAACATGTCAAGGTGTTCATGGCCAAACCGGTCCTGTTTGATCACAGCACACGATTGCAACTGTATCCATGACCCTTGAGAGAATTTTTTTTGTAGGTTGCTCTTATGAAAGGCTTCTATTTATACAACCCTTACTTCATCTCGTTGATTTTGAAACCTGATAATGAAATCTTTTCAAGAATCCACGTCTATGACATTGATAGTACTTAATATTTCAAATTCTTTGGATTTTTTAAATATACATTCTATGACTTGTGTAGGTCAACAACTATCTGTCTCTTGGGTTAACGGAGGAAGATATTTTACATGTGTGCCTCATGATTGCTTCAAGGAAGTCCTATCATTTCTGGACACTGAGAGGAGTTGCCACACATGTTTTTGAAAGAACACAGGTTCTTATGTAAATTTTCTCGTAAGAACATTAAATAGCCAATCACTTGGGACTTGATTGTACTGTATATGTTTACTCGTTGCGTTGCTGGACTAGCAGTCACGATCTGCATGTCATGTTAGTGAACAGGTGCTTTAAACCGATTATAAAAGTGATTTACTATATAAGATATTAGGCAGAACGAGGCACAGATACACGATACCACATGCCTGCCAGCCTCATCTGCATAGAAGGCTTGACGGAAGAAAATGAAATTACTGTGAGAACAAAGGGAACAAACGTATACCTTCATAATGTCAAAGTGATTTAAATGTTACTCAGCGTTCCACTCTTTGTAGAAATCAAACGCTTTAACTGCTTGCTTTTGAGAAACATTAAAGGCCTGAGACATTAATTTCGCCAACACGGTCCAACGAGTAGAGATATAATTCTCAACTGAATCCATGAGCTATTAGAAAAGAAAATTGTCTATCCAAGATGTCTGTGGCTAATAATGGCTTAAGACCATGCATGAATGTAAGAGATCACAGATAACAAACATCACTGAAGCAACACTTTCAGAGATAAAAAGACAACAATATAAGGTTCTATTTTTGGCATAACTTCATGTTGCAGCCCGATCATATTACAAATCAGTGCTAATAGTCACCTGCCACACTTTATGTAACTGAGAACATACCTGTTTGTGTGTGAGGGATCCTGAAAGGACAGCCAAGTCAAACATCACATGGTCCTTTCAGCAAACTGAGAGGCGGGTTTTACCTCAAAAACCTTGATTCGTTCGAATCCAGGATAATAAGCAGGTCATCGGGGTCACCAACTTTTGTTGAGGTGACCGGATGTTAGTCTTTCCACTTAAATCTGAGCATAACATTAACAAATCCAATCAGTTTTACCTATGATGTGACTGTCTGCTCTCTTGAAATACGATTGGACCTCTAAGTTATATGCTTTATACTTGATTGCAAAAGTTTGCACACCCTTAGAGGGGAAACCGAGAAAAAAAGATAAATAAATGTAATTTGTAACAAGGTTTGTAAGTGTGTTATCCCACAGATGTTCCTTTATTAAAGCTTGTAATAATGTCATACACAAGCTAGAGATGTTTAATAGTAATATACTAATGTTCATTATTAAACAATTAGTATGTTTATTTAAACAAAAATGGTCCGATAGAGTATGTTAAGCTAGACATTGTGAAAAGAGAGCGCAAAGCATCTCTCTCTATAGATGAGTCATAAATATATGCTTATAGCTTGAATACCTACGCTTTGTAGTCCAACCTGTTAGCCTCCAAGATTGGTGACTTTTTTCTTTTAATTTTTTATTTAAAAAAAAAAACCATTTTGTATGTTGGATTTGTAGGTAAACCATAAACCAGAGGTACAATAATGGAAAAAATCTAAATGATATCAGGTCAAAACCATCTCTCTCTAATAATGTTGCCTTTATAAATGCCTTACAACATTTTTCACACCTTCTGAAAAGGAAAAGTGTGTGTGTATATGTATATATGTATATATATGTATGTATATATGTATGTATATATATGTATGCATGTTTGTATATATGTATGTATGTACGTATATATGCATATATATATGTATGTATGTATATATGTATATATGTACACATACATACATACATATATATATATACATATATACATACATACATATATATATATATATATATATATATATATATATATATTATATATACACATACATATATATATATATATATATATATATATATATATATATATATATATATATATATATAAAAAAACATACATACATATATTATACATACATGTATTTGAATTGTTTCCATTCAAAAACCACGGGGTGTACAAACAAGTCGCGACATTGTGCGCCAAAAAAAAAAAGAAAAAAAAAGTGAACAAGCCGTTTCACACGATATGACTTCCTTTGATCACATGTCTGTATTAATGCATCATCAGCTATTAGCAAATTGTATTTTCATGTAATGAAAGAAGTAAATTCCAAATCACTTGGTGTTTAGTGATTCATTGCATGAAGCACATGGAAAAGGTGTCTCTCACTGAATAATAGAACGTATATTAAAATAGTAACTGTATATTTTCATCTCATTGTGACTTCCACTTTCACTACGAGTCTCAGATATGGAAAATTCATCACTACAAATAGAGCCCTCAAGGCGCTCGCCCCCTTTGTGATTCATATCGTTAACTCTTTATCTATAAACAGCTTGTGGAAACCGTAGCCTTGTGTTAACCTTTTTTTAAGCATGCAAATCTTACCCACAAACCCACCCAGTGTTACTCGGATAATGTAAAACACTTTACTTTAAGGTTCAGTTAACTAACATAAAATAATTTACTGCATTAATGGCATGCAACATGAACAAAGTATGGACTTTGAATAATGAATAATGTCATACACAAGCTAGAGATGTTTTTTTTTTTTAAGCATTTATTTATTCATTTACATATGATTCATTTTCATGTGATTCATTTACATATGATTCATTTTCATGTGATTCATATTCGTGCATGTGATTCATTTACATGTGATTCATATTTACATGTGATTCATTTACCTTTTCTCCCCTCCCTTCCCCAAATATTTCATTGAGCTAGAGATGTTTAATAGTAATATACTAATGTTTATTATTAAACAATTAGTATGTTTATTTAAAACAGTGCTGCACAATTCACAACTCCGCTTTTTGTTCCTGTAAAATGACAATTTTTGGTGTTCTTCACTTCAGTAGAGTGGGGGGAAAAAAGGAGACGTTGGTTAGGGAACAACTATTTATAGCTGTAATAACACAAGTGATAACAGGAAGTAATTGGTTGTGCAGCTGTTCCACAACAGTCCATGTAACTATAAATGGCTGAAATGTACAACGTGTTGTTCATTAATAAATATAAACATTGTTAGCATTGTGAATGTATGTGGTATAAAAGGAATAAAACATGCTGAGATAGGAAAATACTCAACGTCAGGGTGATAAGAGTAACTCGACTGTATCTGGCCGCATCACACTACTGCATCATGGATTATTTTCCTATAACAGCATGCCCCCAAGTGTTTTGTACCTCACTACATTCGTGCCTAAAATGAAGCTCAGAAATGTCAACAAAAACGAATTGAGCACATTGATAAGTGTTGAACTTCCTGAAGGTGTAAGTAGTATCAGTTCTGAATTTTCTTCATGAAGTTTTATGTTCTTTGTGGATTTAATTGTAATTGTTGACGGTATAAACGTTGGTTAATGCGGGTATATAAAGTCGATGAATACAAGTGGTATATATTACTCATAGTGGATTCATTCTGAAGTTCATAGCTTGTTTGTGTTAACTAATGCATTAGATAAAGTCACAAGGTAAAATGATACGACTACAACATTGTTCCGGTTGCTAATTTGTGCATGCAGTAGTGTAAGGAAAGATAGTCATCTTATCAAACTTCATCTGCTGTAAGCAAATGCGCTCTGCTTACTGCAGAGAGGCTGAAATCCGACGCTGCTGGTACAACCTGTTCTTTTTGATTTTTTTTTTTTCTTTTTCCAGTTTTGAAGATGATTGATTATTGGTTAGAGTCCTGCTGATGTTTAACAACCTTCCACAAATGTAAGAAAAAGGCAAATATTAACTAGACTGTTAAACTAGATTGTGTAGTCACAGTCGACTAGAAAAGAAAGTTGTGGGTGTGGAAATCGATACCAATCAGGGCCGACAGAACGGATGAAGAGAGAACGTTTGCAGGAAATTGAGACGTAGAGAGATAGATGGAGGGTTTTTGAGTTAGTGTAGAGAGAGACGAGAGGAGTAAGCAGTGCAGTGCAGTGCAGTTTTCTAGTCCTACTGCAGACAAGTCAATGAAATGCGGAAGTGAATGTGAGGAAAGAATGAAACAGAACTGGTGACCGTGGCAACTGTAGATAAATTTAAGAAAAGCAGGGAGGAATGGAGGATATCAGCACAGCTAGAGTGACATGGAGCGATGAGGGTTGATGAAGCGCTCTGAGGCAATAAAGTTTATCTTGGCTCCAAATAAGCGCTAAAAGCAAAATGCATAGTTAGTCTGTATATTTTTTATA